ATTGCTGGTCGTTCTCACAATAGCTCATGGCTTTTACCAGGGCTAGCGTCAGAGTCTCTGTAGTACCCTCTGCCTCTGCCTGTTCTGGTTGCAAATTTCTTTTTTCTAGAAAACAATAATAATAATATATACGTACAATATTATTATTATTATAAATATATTATAATACTCCAGCAGCAAATAAGTCAGAAAGTCGCGCATCCCGCCAGCTGCGATCTGGGTTACCGTCTGGTTGTTTCAGTGGTGGCCCACTCATTCCCGTTGTTGACTGGCTTTCCAAGTCAACCACTACACACGTGTCATTGATGGTGGGGCAGAGCTACTTTTGTCTTTGCGGCTGGAGAGTACCATCCTACTTGCGTTCTTCTTGGTTTCTAGACTTGCCAGGATTCCCGACTGCGTTCGGACTTTTATTTATTTATTTATTAAATACATTATCCAATCACCGGTTTATCATATCATTCATTCCTCATCCTCAATTGTTTTTTTGAGAATATCATATCATATAAAGCACTAGGATATTTTTTTTTCCCTTCAAAAAGTCATTCCTAATAATCTCGAAACATGCTCACGTAATATATCTTGCTTTTTTTTTTTTTTTTTTTTTGCCATTTAGATGTTTTAAATGTTATTCCCATCAATCTGAGAGAAGAGTCCCCAAGATCCAAAAAATGGGAAATTCCCATTTAATATTTTATCATAGGAACTACTACAATTCAAAATTTTATTCTCAGCATGTTAATCATCAATAGTTTTTTTTTTTTTAGCAAATTAGGTTTGTCGAATGAGTGTCTAATAGATACATAACTCGTGATATCGAAAGGTGTTTTAAGCGTTAATTTTAATCAATATAAAATTGAACAAAGAGTGTCCAAATATAAAATTTTATTGTTTTTTTGGTGGGGGTGAACTAATATTCATGGGAAACACGTTAAGAAAATCCCTTAATATATATATATATATATATATATGAATACGTGATCCATAGCCAATAGCCATATTTTGTTGCGGGGCCTTTGATTAAATGAAATAAATAACCAAATTAGACGAAACTGCTTGGAATCCAAATCTTACCGGCCGCGACAAGGAAAGACTAACAAGACAGGCCCACTTGCAATGCCAACAAGAAATTTTTGACTAATCCCACCCCTAATGGTAATAGTACTCTCTATGGAGGCGGGGGGGGGGGGGGGGGGAGCCGTTTGTAGGGGTTTTAAAAATCGGTTTATAGCCGCTGGAATTGATAAGAATTTCCAAGCATTTTCCTCTCAGCGTGCACCATCCATTCCATTCCTGGGAGTTCACACTCTACAGACAGGCCATGAGCATTCAACTTCTCCATTGTAATTTGTAATCCTCCTCCTTCAATCACCCCTGAAAATGTCCGAAACCACCCAATGGTCTTCCCAGCTCACCTTTCTGATTTTCACCATCTTCTTCCTCTCCTTGCCTTTCCTTGGCAACTCACAAACTACCAAAACCAATCCAGAAGAACAGACCATTCTGCTCAAACTCAAACAGCAGTGGCTGAATCCGCCCTCCCTGTCCCACTGGACCTCATCATCAGACCACTGCACCTGGCCAGAGATCAACTGCACAGGTGGATCAGTCACAGAACTCAACGTCTCCAATTTGGCAATCACAGAAACAATCCCATCATTTATCTGTGACCTCAAGAACCTCACAGTTCTCGATCTCAAAAACAATTTCATCCCCGGCTCCTTCCCTACAGTTCTCTACAACTGCTCCAAGCTCGAATACCTTGACCTGTCTCAGAATTTGTTCGTTGGCACTATTCCGGATGATATTGACAGGCTATCCCCAAGCACCCTCCAGTGCCTTATACTTGAAGCCAACAATTTCACTGGCGACATCCCTCCAGCTATTGGGAAGCTAACGGGGCTTAAAAGCCTTTACGCCGGAACAAACCTGTTTAATGGTTCTTTCCCAGCAGAGATTGGCGATTTGCTGAATCTTGAAGAGCTGGCCTTGAGTTTTAATGGATTTGTCCCACAACCCATACCCTCGAGTTTCACTCGGTTAAAAAAGTTGAGATTTTTATGGATGTTTCAGACTAATTTGATTGGAGAGATCCCACAAGACATTGGGAACATGACGGCTTTGGAATCCTTGAACTTGGCAGATAATGATCTCAGTGGAAATATCCCTGGGGGACTGTTTCAGCTGAAAAATCTGAGCATTCTCTCTCTTTACAAGAACAGGCTGGTCGGGTCAATACCATCATCAATTGAGGCCTTGAATCTGGAGCAAATTGACCTGTCTAATAACAGCTTAACGGGGAAAATACCGGATGAGTTTGGCAAATTGACAAACTTAACACTGCTAGCTCTGTTTTTCAATGAATTATCAGGCGAAGTACCTACTAGTTTGGGCATGTTGCCATCACTAGTAGACATTAAATTGTTCTACAATAATCTATCAGGTCAGTTGCCACCAGATTTTGGGAGACACTCGAAGCTCAGTAGCTTTCAGGTTTCAGCCAACAATTTCACTGGAAATTTGCCACAGGATTTGTGCAAGAACGGTGTGCTACTTGGTGTGGTTGCTTTTGGGAACAGTCTTACAGGAGAATTACCACCATCCCTTGGGAACTGTGACAGCATGCAGGTTGTACAGCTTCAAGGTAATCAATTTTCAGGCCAAATTCCGGATGGTTTGTGGACAACAAATTTGACAACTTTGTTGATACAGAATAACTCATTTACTGGCCAGCTACCGGACAAAGTTGCACCAGGTTTGTCAATTCTTGACATCAGTAACAATCAGTTTTCAGGTGAAATTCCAGCTGGAGTGTCATCTTGGAATAATTTAAGGGAGTTTAAGGCAAGCAATAACCTGTTCAGTGGTAAAATTCCTCAAGAGTTGACTTCTCTTCCAGAGTTGGGAACACTTCTGCTTGATGGCAATCGGCTTTCTGGGAGTCTGCCATCAAGCATAATCTCATGGAAGGGGTTAAATGTCTTGAGCTTCAGTAACAACGAGCTTTCTGGCCAAATACCTGCAGCAATTGGCCTTTTACCTGTCCTTAATGCCTTGGACTTGTCAGAAAATGACTTCTCAGGTCAAATTCCAGCTCAAATTGGGCTTCTAAGGTTAAATTCCCTCAACCTCTCTTCCAATCGCCTCTCTGGTAGAATACCTGGTGAATTTGAAAATGCAGCTTTTGACAGAAGTTTCTTGGGTAATGCTGGTCTTTGTTCACGTAATCCATCTTTAGGCCTTAACGCCTGTGCTTCCCATACCCGGGAGTCAAACAAGCTTTCAGCAAAATTTGTCGCAGCTGTTTCAAGTATAGCCGCATTTGGCTTTTTAGTGGCTTTAGTATACACATTCTTTTTGATCAGAGGTTACAAGAAGAAAAAACAGGGATTGGATTCAACTTGGAAATTAACCTCATTTCAGAAGTTGAATTTCACTGCACCATCCCTTCTATCAAGCTTGACAGAAAGCAATATGATTGGAAGTGGAGGTTCAGGAAATGTCTATCGTGTTCCAATTAATAGTTCAGGTGCATATGTTGCTGTTAAGAAGATTTGCAACAGCAAAAGGTTGGATCACAAAGAATTTCTTGCAGAAGTTGAGATTTTGGGCACTATTCGACACTCCAACATTGTGAAGTTAATGTGTTGCATCTCAACGGATAGTTCGAAGTTACTGGTCTACGAGTATATGGAAAATCGTAGTTTGGATCGTTGGCTTCATTGCAAGAGGAACCGGTCTGCTAACACAGGTTCAATCCACCATATTGTCCTGGAGTGGCCTAAGAGGTTGCAGATTGCAATTGATGCTGCTCGAGGGCTCTGCTATATGCACCATGACTGCTCACCATCTATAATTCACCGAGATTTAAAATCAAGCAACATTTTGCTAGATTCTGAATTCAATGCAAAAATTGCAGATTTTGGTCTGGCTAGGATGTTAGTGAAGGATGGAGAGCCCAACACAATGTCAGTTGTAGCCGGCTCATTCGGATACATTGCTCCTGGTACGTGGTATTGTAATTTGTCAAATGTATTTGATTTTTTTTTATATAATTTTTTTGTCGAAAGGGGGATTATTTGATTATGATCACTTTAAATACTACCAAACTCAACTTAGTTGTTCTGTTTCTTGATTTTGTATTGCAGAGTATGCTCAGACAAGAAGAGTGAATGAGAAGGTTGATGTGTATAGCTTTGGGGTCATCCTTCTGGAACTGGTTACTGGAAGAGAAGGCAATTACGGTGATGAGACTTCATCGCTTGCAGAATGGGCGTGGCGTCACTTTCAAGAAGGGAAACCAATAATTGATGCCTTCGACGAGGACATAATGGAGCCTTGTTACTTAGATGAGATAGCCAACGTGTTCAAACTCGGTATTTTCTGTACCGGATTGGTGCCCTCGAACCGCCCTACAATGAGGGACGTTTTACAAATTTTGCTCCGCTCTGTTCATTCAGTGCCAATGGGAGAAAAGAATGGCAGGAGTGAGTGTGATTTTGCCCCCCTTCTTAACAACTCAAAGCGTGAGAAGTCGTTGATCGACGAAGATGGCGGCTTCGACTCAATGGTCTGATAAAGCTTGAAAATGTAACCATCAGGTGGTTGATCCACAAAGTTGGGAAATCGATGAAGGTTCTGAACCAAGCAACAGAAGCAGGCTAAGGAGATTGGAGCGGGTTCATGGGGGCACGGCTGCATGAGTTAGCTTATACTAGTTGTCTAGAATTAGGAGATACATGGTGTTTTCAAACTGTAATTGGTGTACAAGTAGGGAAAGTAAAGCTTATTATAGCAAGCATTTCCACAGCTCGTATGAAAACGGCTGGCAGTCACTGCAGCTGCTACGAAGCAGCATTCGTTTTTGGTGTCTACAAGTTTCGGATCAATATATGTATAGTCTTTAAATGGATATAGTCTAGCAACACGACTAGGAAAAATGGGTTGACAGATTATGTAGTAATTTATGTATAGATTGCTTAAAACAACCTCAGAAAAACTTGATGAAGCCTAGTACTAAAACTGCTACTCACTTCATGTGGATCTCCATCAAGTCCGTTTAATATGTTGCGCAGGACTTTATTTGATCCAAAGAGTATCATCTACATGTGCACTATACCTAATCTTGAATGCCCAAATGATCTTACAACAAAGCCTTAACTTTAAGACACTACTCTTAAGCCAAAGAGGGAGGGGGGGAATTACTAACAAAAATACGAAGACATTGTCTCAGTTACGGGCCAGAAATCTAGAGGCACACGGGTCCATGGCTCAGTTTGGAGCTCTGCTAGACCATATATTAAACCGGTCCTCGCGACATCTCCTTGATTCGGCTGCTGCAATTGCCCCCAGGGAAAGGATGACAGAAATATAGAGCTCCAACGCAGTAGATCAATTTTTGGCAGCACTACAGCTCATACCAGGATCAGGATTCCTCTACTTCGAGATATTGCGAATGAGAGGCAGCCAGGAGCGCAGCACCAATGCCAGAACCATCATTTGAATGGATAATTGAAACATTTTCGTAAGCATCTCCAAGCAATTCCTGGAGAGTGCTGTCCATACAATTTCTGAACTTTGTGTAGTGCTCGAAAAGTCCGCCATCCAAAGCTACAACTGACTTCTGCTTCTCTCCATCCGTCATAGTATCTCTACCCAATTTTTTGAGAATTCCCAGGATCGCAGCAGCAGAGAGGCGTGCTCCACGGGAGACAACAATATCGCATATCTCCACTATTACTTTCCGTACTTTAAGCGAAGAATTAGGAATCTACCACCAGGAAAGGAGAACAAGTAAAATAAGAAGTCAGTAGTCATTCTGCCAAGTACTACAACACCTTTCAAATGTGCATGATAATGCATGCTAACCCAGTAGACTAGAAATTTATAAATAAAAAAAAAAAAAAAAAGGAAGAGGAATTCACTAGTTGTCAAAGAAATTAAACAAACATTTTAGCAACTTCGTGTTTCTTTTCTGTTGCCTGGTGCCATACCTCTAAAATATCTTTTAGCTTTGCACCAACCACTTTGAGATCACTAGATGTGTCGTGATGTATTGCAGACATCTCAGGGGTCCTGGATATAAAGCAGTCAGTAACTGTGTGTTTCAAGTTTAATGCATTAGAATTAGTTGAACAAAATAGTAAAAGCATATGAATGGAGAAAATCTATAGATTATGTCTCACGACCGCAATGTACAATTACATACTGCCAAAATTGAAAGTTAACATTGTACGCTTTAAAAAAAAAAATGCTTTAAAAAATGTTCACAAACTACCAAAAGGTCCAAAACCTAAGGTTGACATCTTGATCTGATGGCACACCTCAATATGAAAGGAATATTTAGCTTTGGAGGAACAGCATCACCAAACAAGGCAGCTTCTTCAGCCATCCTGCATAGTACTCTATGCACAATTTCCCCTAGATACATCCCAGATATAATCTTCTCAAAAATCTGCAACAGTTAGCTGGTATTAGAAACTAGAAATAAACAAAATAATCCATAATAAACTTATTAAAAACAAAGCAGCTGTAAAGTGCTCTGTTGACCTGTTCCCCAGGGTTTAAACTCTCAGCATCAAGCCCTTGATCATACTCAGTTAGTGGAAGATGTGATGACCGAAAGTTACCCCATTCCATGTTGATAACCTACACAGTTCAATGCCATAAAGAAATTAATTTGGCAGAGAAAATATGAGAAGATAAAACAAGGCTTGATTGAGGTATTAAACTGCTTGAGTAATTTGGAGAATGCCAACCATCTCTCCTGATTTAGGCAGCAGACCATGCCACTTCGGAATTGCATGCGCCCTCTCGACATATGCTGCATTAGTCCCTGTACCCAGGATAACAGCAGCCATAACATCTGGGTGGTTGTATCGACCTCCAGCTAAGGTTCCAACTGCATCGTTGACCTACAGTAGCCAAGCAATATGAGAAATCTGCATGCTAAAAGAGATTTGACCTTCAAAATTAAGCAGTCACCCCACTCTACAGTCACTGCCGTCGCAGCTCCTCCTACGTATTTGCCGCCATCTCCACTCGGACCACCACTATCACCACCCATTTCCACCGCAACATGGCCACAACAGCCTCCGAGCCGACAAGCCCATCCAACACCCGTCTAGGTTGGATTGGAACTGGCGTCATGGGCCTCTCCATGTGCTCCCACCTAATCAACGCCGGCTACAATCTCACCATCTTCACCCGAACCCCCTCCTAGGCCCAACCTCTCCTCTCTCTGGGTGCCCACTGGGCCGACTCCCCCAAAACTGTCGCCTCCCAATCCGACGTCGTCTTCTCCATCGTCGGTTACCCATCCGACATTGGCCACGTTATCCTCCACCCATCCACTGGCCCTCTCTCCGGTTTACGCCCCGGAGGCATCATCGTTGACATGACCACCTCGGATCCCTCACTCGCCGTTGAAATACACTCGGCAGCCACCTCTGCCGGCTGTTCCGCCGTTGACGCCCCAGTATCCGGCGGCGATCGTGGCGCCCGCAACGCCACTCTCTCTATCTTCGCAGGCGGGGACGGACCTATCATCGAAAAACTAAAACCCATTTTCGCCCTCCTCGGAAGAGTTTATTACATGGGTGCTCCAGGAAAGGGGCAATTCACGAAACTAGCAAACCAGATAACCATAGCTTCAACAATGGTGGGGCTTTGTGAAGGTTTAGTATATGCCCACAAGGCAGGTTTGGACCTAGAGTTGTACTTGAGTGCGATATCTACAGGCGCGGCTGGATCCAAGTCGTTGGATTTGTATGGGAGTAGGATTTTGAAAAGGGATTTCGAGGCCGGATTTTTTGTGAATCATTTCGTGAAGGATTTGGGGATATGCTTGAGGGAATGTCAGAATATGAATTTGGCATTGCCGGGTTTGGCACTGGCTCAGCAGCTTTATCTTTCGCTTAAGGCTTATGGTGAGGGGGATTTGGGCACCCAGGCGCTTGTTTTGGCGCTTGAAAGGCTCAACAACGTATCACTCGATTCTGCTGGTGGTGCTGCTGCTTCAGGGAATAAAACATGAAGGTAGGGATTGGTAAAGTTTTGATATTTTGAGGATGGAAATATAAATGTTATTACACTTCTTTTTGTCACATTTTGATTGTGTTGGAAACTTCGATATGGATCATAATTCTGGTAAAAAGCATGATTAATCCGAGTTATTTAACTGCGTGCTTTTCCCAAAGAAGATCGCGATTCCAATGTAGTCTGTTATGTGGGTTGGGTTCAATTACACAACTGGGCCAATTGGGAAGGAGTGTGCTGATCTCTGGCCCAGGATTGCTAGTGCTGCCACTAAATACACTAAATATTTCTTACAGGTAATTAGCCTTTTTATGTCAAAAAAAAAAAAAAAATTGAGGTCTTTGGCGAAGAGCAGAGGGAGGTCTTCCCTTAGAGTCCTCACAGCCAGACCCAGGCTCACAAAGAAATCATCCCTATAGTCATGCTGCTTATTATCGTGAGGAGAAGCAAGAGCAATGGCAACCGTGGCAGTGGCATAGGTGGTGGGGTGGTGGAGGGGTCGGTGGGGCGGAGGTGATTGGTAAACCATTCAAAAACTATAATACCGGTGATATTTGGTCGCGTGTCTCATGAGATGATGTTTCATGTTAATTTTAATTGTTGAATTTGACAGAAGAGTTACGAATATGCTATTTTATTATATCGAGGGTCAAACCTTTACTGTTAATTATTGGAGAGTTAAAATTTTACCTGAAAAAAAGTTGGGGGGCCATTGGGACTCTTTTCCCTTGAAAAAAAGATGAAAATAAGTAAAATTCAAGCTTAAAAAGCTTCCTTTACTAATTTTTTTCTACCGATTTTCAACATTTTAACGATTCAATTTTGTTGAGTAGTATTGCTGTTGTTTGCTCTTCGGGCTCCATCAACCTTCTACTGGTCTACTGCCAGCACTTCTTTTAAAAGCAATAAAGCAGTCTACGGAAGGCTTTCTTGAGAGTGAAAATATATATAGTCGTTGATGTATGGAGGTAAATGTTATCCAATTCCCAGTAAATGTCCATGGTATCAGTGCTTTGTATACATACGTACGTACATATATATATATATATATATATATATATATATAAAATATGGATGAGGAGGCAAATGACATGCAATTCCCAAGTAAGTAAATGTTCTGCCGTGTTTGTCACCTACCAAGGGATTATTTTGTGCAGACTTATTGGAAAAATAAAAATAAAAAGGAGGGAGCTTTATAGACTTTTGGAGGCGTGAAAAAGTGGGATTGAGAGGAATGGAGGAACCTTCTTGCACGGCTACTCTCATCTCATGGCCGTCACTGGATATGATTGCTTGCGGATTAGTATTTTGAGCGCATAGGATTGCAAAACAATAATGGGTTGGTTGAATGAATGAATATTCAGCGGAAGAAAATAGAAGCAGTGGTGTGGTGTCAGATCAAAGTCATGTGGGTGGGTTGTTGACCTGTTGTCGTCGGTCTTCGGCAGCACTCTATTACAGTACTGTTTGGGTCTCCAGTCAACAAAGGCGTTCTCTCCCCCGTTCTGGTCAAACCTTTTTTCTTTTGGGTGCTCCTAATTTTATTGCTGGTAATCTGAAATCTGGTTGACAGCAGTTGGTTGTGTCGATATTGCTGGTTTTTTTTTTTTTTAAATTTATTTATTCGTCTCATAGTCCCCCTTTCATAACTCACAGTCTCATAGTCGATATTGGTTGTTCTCACAATAGCTCGTGGCTTTTATGCGTCAGAGTTCTCACAATAGATCGGGTTATCGTCTTAGTGAGGATGGACGGGTTGTTTCAGTGTTGGCCCACTCATTCCCGTTGTTGAGTTGACTGACTTTCCAAGTCAACCACAACACACGTGTCATTGATGGTGGGCAAACCTACTTTGTCTTTGTGGCTGGACTCTGGAGAGTTCCATTCCACTTGCGTTCTTTTTGGTTTCTAGATTTGCTTGCTTGCTAGGATTCCTGACTCCGGACTTTTATTTATTTATTAATGCATTACCAATCACCATTTTATCTTTCTCGTCCTCAATTGCTTTTTGGGAGAACATCATATCATACAAAGCATTAGGATATTTTTTTTCCCTTCAAAAGGTCACTCCTAATAATCTCAAAACATGCTCACGTAATATATTTTGCTTTCTTTTTTTTTTTTTGCCATTTAGATATTTTAAATGTTATTCCCATCAATCTGAGAGAAATATCAATGGAGAGTCCTCAAGATCCCAAAAAATGAGAAATTCCCATTTAATATTTTATCAGAGGAACTAATACAATTCAAAATTTTGTTCTCAACATGTTAATCATCAATAATTTTTTTTTAGCAAATTAGGTTCGTCGAACGAGGGTCTAATAGATAGATAACTCATGGTATCGAGAGGCGTTTTAAGCGTAAATTTTAATCAATATAAAATTTAACAAAGACTGTCTAAAAATACGAATTTTAAATTTGTGCATCGATTGTATGTTTTGATTGTTTTTTTGGTGGGGGTAAACTAATATTCATGGGAAACACGTTAAGAAAATCCCTTAAAATATACATATATATATATATATATATCTTTATACTATATAAGATAGAGTTTTGGTCAAAGAGGGGTTAAATTTCAACTAGGGATAGACAACAAATTCGATCCGATCCGAAACCCGACTAATCCGATCCGATTTTTCTTAGCGGGGCAGATGCGGGTCGGGGACCAGCAAAAATGGAAACGGATACGGATCAGCAAAATAAAAATCTGATGGTACCCGACCCGCATGGTATATTATATAAATATTAAAAAAATAAGAGTTCATTATATAATTTTATAATTTTTAATCCTAAATGTAAGTACCTTTATTCCAAAGATGTAAGAAAGTTGGAAAAAAAATTTCAAAATTATTTTTGTTATACTTTTTTTTCAAAAATTATTAGCTCTGTTCAATTCTTTTCCGGACTTGATTCCACAATTGACTCATTTTGGATGCAATTTTGTACCATAATATCCTTAAGGAAGTTGAAAAAGTTGTCATATACTTATTATCCTTATGTTTGTTATGTTGTAAAAAGATAAAATGTGTGAAAATGGTGATGTACTCAAAATTATCATAAAACTTCGTTTTATTCTTGTGTTTGTTATACTTGAAAAAGTTGAAAAAGTTGTCATATACTTATTATCCTTGTATTTGTTATGTTGTAGAAGGATGAAATGCGTGAAAATAATGATGTACTCAAAATTATTATAAAATTTTGTTTTATCTATTATATATTATAATTCTAATATGTACTAAATTTATGAAATCGGTTTGATTATTGGATGAAATGTGTGAGAATGGTGATGCATAGATTTTGATTATAATATCTTTACCAATGTTAATTGGAAAGCATACTTTTTTTTATTGAAAAATATGTTGATATTAAGTGAAAAATATTTTTTATTGAAAAATCAATTTTTTTTTATGGGCGGGTACCCTATTACCCGTCCCTTTTTTTCAGGTACCCGAATAACGGGTACTCGAAAATATTAGGAACGGGTTAGGGTCGCAAAATGGTTGATCCGATATTTTAGGATCGGGTCAACCAAATTTTATTAGGGGCGGATACTCGATCCATGCCCACCCCTAATTTCAACTGCATGGGTAGGAATTTTTTGGGAATGTTAAAAATTATGAAGTGTTTTACAAGTTGAAGGTACGAGTGAGGAAAGCGTGTGGTTGGATATATTAACCGAAACGGCCTCCTTTATGGATATTTAAAACTTTAAATGTGATTGTGTATCTGGGTATTTATGGTATGTACAATAAATCTGGAGCCGTTTGTTACTTTTGGTACAACTCAAATAAGCCCGTGGGTTCGTGTCATTACTGAAATGGCCTTTAGACAGCATACATGTAGCTTTTGAGCCGCAGATAACCGTTTGAGACTATTGCTTCGTCTGAAATGAGCTTGTGTCTGAAACCTTGCTCACCTATCACCGTTGTTAAAGCTCAGTTATGAACTCCACTATTTATGCTTGAATTTAACGGCCATAAACATGGGTTAATTAATGACTCCATGTCTGGCCTTTGGGATTAGGTCAGTTTCCCCTCTTTCATCTTCGAGGATTGGGGTTTTCCTTGCAACGAAATGCCTCTTCCTTTGTCCTTTCATCCGAACTCATGTCTGAAAGCCCATTTCTTTAACATTATAACCACAATTAAATAACCAAACATTTGTATGTTAATCCCCAAACGGCTGAGCATTGATTATGCTTGTTTCAATGCCTCCTCTTTCGCCTTCTTCAGTTTCACTCTTTTCATATTCTGGGATTTGGCCTATTTTTTATGCCTTTCTACTAAGTACTTTAGAATGTTCTTTAGCCGTAGCTACTCCATGTGGTTCAGTTTGAGGTAGGATTTGTCCCTCAATTTTGTCGTTCATGTGAGTGGTTTGGGCCGTGTGTGGCGTCGATGTGTGCTTAATTTCTACAAGGAAAGCAAACTCTTCTCTGAACTGCTAAAATTGTCCAGATTTTTGCAAGTAAGTACATACTCCATCTCATCTGGTATTGCAATTGATAGTTGATCTTTTTGATCTTAAACGGCCTAGGCTGTCTTAGTTTTCCCTCCCTTCTGAAGAAGACTGCAAATATCTGTAAAATTTTGGCAGCTTTGCCATTTGAATCGTGGATCGTCTAATGCATACGTGATATCTGTAACAGCCCCACCTTCCCCTAAGGCGAACCAAAGGGGTTGACGGACTGCCTGCCCAACTCTCGCTAGGACTACGGATTAGTTTACGTCAATCTAATACGTTCCGGAACTTACCAATGCGTGCAACCAAGTCAAAATCACAAAATAAAAAAATGAAAAAAAAAATTGAAGCCGATGATGAACAGTACCGGCCACGTCAGAATCCGGATACTAGGCCGGGAGTAGCCAAACTTTTCCAAATTTCCTTCACAATCCGGCCGGCAATTCGACCAGTTTCTGGCAGGATTCCTGGCCGATTTTGGCCTTGTTCACCCCCGCCAAAATTTTTCTTTTGCCGTTTGAAATATGAGTTGATCCGAAATCCGAAATCCAACCAAATACCAACCAAACATGTATACATTGAAATGTAACATTTACAAGCTAAAACGGCATATCAAAACGATTCATCATGGATATACATGTTCGGTTTGCCAA